TGCCCCTGTGGCTAGCCCATCAGCTGCTACATTAAACCCCTCCCCCACCACCACACCTGACCCTGTGGCTAATACAGGTGTTGCTACCTTAGATAGCATTGTTAGCTCATTGGCTAATATACCCAGTTTAGCAGGGATTGTTAGCGGTGTGGCTAACCCTGCTGTAAGCTCCTCTCCATCGGCCCCATCCCCCTCATCTGGTAAACTCCAGTACCCATCTGTGGTGGCATCCAGTGCTGCCAGAGACCCTTACACAGGTATAGCAACTAATCAGTCAATCAACTAATCTATCAACCAATCAATCAGTCTGACTTGAGACCAGGATGTGGTTTTAATGTGTTTGGAAGAAAGCTGTTTCATAAACCAGTTTAACTAGTTTAAACGGGTAAATGGCAGTAAATCAGGATAATTGATTGGATTAATTAACTGTAGGAGACTCCCCCTGATTGGCTGTTGAACATCTCTGTATTAAATGTGTCCAGATGTTGGGGCGCTGTCACAGCTGGTGATGTCAGCTTTAGACCCAACTGCAGGAATTACATTCCCTCCAGCAGAAGGAGCTATAGAGCCCGCAGATGAAGGTATTGACCTATCTTGTTCCAGTCTAGGTCCAGTTCTGGGTCCTGGTCTTCACCCTCCTCATTTTGCCCTCTCTTTATTCTGGTTCCAGTTTTACCTCCTCACACTGCCAAAGAAGAAAATCCCTATGTCACTGTGTTGGCTCGTTGGACGAGTCAAGAGGAACTTGACACTGAGTCATCCAATGAAGAGGAAGAGACAGGAGTTAAGCCTACCCCATCTGAAACTGATGGGCCAATGGAGGAAGATCCAGCTTCTAACCCGACTACCAATACCAGCAAGTATGTGTTCAGTACTACAGCTACTGCTAATACTAGTCATTTACCGGGGCTGTTGCTCTGTCAGCATAGCTGTGCTCGAAATGGATCCTGCTACCTCTGAGGTTTCAGCGTTTAAAAGGCAGCTGGGGGACACGTTTCATTTGGATTCATTACACAAGTATATAACTCATTTTCCTCAAACCTATGTTATTTGACACTTTAGAAATGAATAAAATGATCGGAGGTGTAAAGAGCTGCCCTTACACTGAACTTTGTCTGAACTTACACCTCAGCTTAAGTTAGATCACAGTTAAACAGGCCTGTGGTACAGTAGGTTTAAGTTAAACCCCAGAAACAGTGACTCCTACAGGGTTTAGGTGGTTTCCAAAGATACAGCAGCTGGTTCAGGTTACATGTCTACTCCTGAGGACTTGGCAGTGACCACACATTCCTAAACTGTTGTTGTTTTTGTTTTCCAGCATCTTGACCAATCCTTCAGGTCAAATTAAGCCCTATCGTCCGGCCCCACCCCCTCCCCGGCCTGCTGGCCAAACAGTGAAATCCAAGAAACAGAAGATCCCCAGGTAAGAGAGCAGAATCGATCACCTCTGTTTGCTGCACATTTATGAAGAGGCTTCTGATCAAACCATACTGGAAGAAACGTATTGTAACCAGTTTAAGAGGAACCTGTGAAATTTCTTCATGGCACAAATTATGTTGTTGTTGGTTTTTTTGCATGCATGTGTGAAGGGATGGAAAACAACCACAAAGAGATGCTAAACACTTTACAGTTTGTCGTCTTGTGTCTGAGCCCAGGGGCCTATTTTCTTGTAATCAGTCCATACCATAGAACCCCGAGTATGCTTTCCCCATGTGGGGTCTGAGTTACATCACCTGGCTGATGTGTCACACTAGGCTTGTTGGAGATGATCAGTACCTGATCAGAATTGGTCACCGGCAGTTGGTGCACAGTGCTATGGTTAGTTTTCTGCCCGACTTGATTCCAGCTTGCTCCGACGTAACTCCTATGTAGCCAACAATATTCTCACAGGGTCGTGGCAGTTGTAGCTTTTGGTGTCACAGTTGCCACAGACTGCAAGATTTTGGACTGTTAAGCTGAATGTGACGTGCTCAGTTTGCTACCAGTGCAGGTCTGTGTACTGTACACTGAGGAAAGTGTGTTTGTTCTGCAGAGCTGCCACCATTCGAGTGTCGAGAAAGAAGGAGGCCAGCGGGAGTTCAGCTCCACAAAGTGCTGTGGTCCGATCCAGCTGGCTGGACGTCTGGAAGGGCTTCAAGTAACAGCCTCCACTGAGTTCACTTTTACACTTTTACACACTCACTTTTACAGCTAGCATTGTTAGGAATCTGCTCATACTGCAACAGAACAGACAACATTCAACACTACGTACTGATGTGAAACCATATGTACTGTGGACAGTGGTATGTTTTCTCTCCAACAGACACAGTGTTCTATGGGCAACACTCGATGGACAGCTAATGTCTCTCTGGAAGAAACGCACAGTGAGTCAATGTGTCTCTGTCTGTACACCTGTGTCTGTATATGTGCCAGAGTCCTTACGTGTCTCTGTATACCTATCTCCTTATACCTGTATCAGTATACCTGTATGTCTCTGTATAGCCTACCAGTGTCTGTCTACCTGTCAGTCAGCATAGTAATGGGTGTGTTTGTTTTGTTCATCAGGACCGGTTTAGTGAGCTGCTCTTTCATGTCTCCAGTATCACCAATGTGAAAAAACTAGACAAGAGAAGATTCTCTGTTTACTTCAGGAAGAAACATTATGACTTCATGGCTCACAGTGATGGTAAGAATACTGGGTGCCACTAGGCTTTACTGCACATGACTCTGGTTCAGGTGAGTCAGGTTGATTGTTCACATTTAGATTCAAAGTACTTTATTAATCCACAAAGGGCAATTCATTTATACAGACTGCTTCTCTCCCTTAGATCTCTCAGAGTTGACCTCAACAGTTGCTTCATCTAAATCATCAACATGTCTCTTAGACCCATCCCGACCAGGCTGCTCAAAGACATCTTGCCCCTAATCAAAATGTCCATATTAGATCTGATCAACCTCTGTCTATTAACAGGCTATGTTCCACAGGCTTTTAAGGTTGCTGTAATTAAACCTCTACTCAAAATGCCTAATCTTGACCAAAGTGATCAGTTGGTCAAACTCCAAGCACATCATAAAGGCATAAAGGCCTGGATAACCTGTAATTTCTTACTTCTAAACGCTAACAAAAACTGAAGTTGTTGTACTTGAGCCTGAAAACCTTAGAAATCTGCTGTCTAACCTTATAGTTAGTCTAGATGACATGGCTCTGGTCTCCAATCCTGCTGTATTAAACCTTGGAGTCATATTTGATCAGGATATGTCCTTTAAATCACACATGAACCAAGTCTCTAGAACTGCCTTCTTTCACCTGCGCAGTGCACCAAAATCTGGAGCATCGTGTCTCAAAGTGATGCTGAAAAACTGGCCCATGCATTTGTTACTTCCAGGCTGGACTACTGTAACTTCTTACTATCAGGATGTCCCGATAGTGCCCAAAAAAGCCTCCAGTTAATCCAAAATGCTGCAGCCAGAGTACTGGCAGGAACTAGCAAGAGAGGTTCTATCTCTCCCATATTAGCTTCTCTCCACTGGCTCCCGGTAAAATCCAGAATAGAATTTAAAATCCTTCTGCTAACATACAAAGCCCTTAATGACAAGGCTCCATTGTATCTTAAAGACCTCATAGTACTTTATCATCCCAACAGAGCGCTTGGCTCTCAGAGTGCAGGTCCTAGAGTCCACAGAAGTAGAATGGGAGGCAGAGCCTTTAGCTCTCAAGCTCATCTCCTGTGGAACCAACTCCCAGTCTCAGTTCAGGAGGCGGACACCCTCTCTACCTTTAAGACTAGACTTAAGACGTTCCTTTTTGATATACTGTAGCATATAGTTAGTTATGCTGCTATAGGCCTAGACTGCTGGGGGCCCCCCATGATGTTCTAAGCTCCTCCTCTCTTCCTCCCCTTCCCTCTAACCACTCACCCCAACCAGTCGAGGCAGAAGACCGCCCACCAAGAGCCGGGATCTGTCTGAGGTTTCTTCCGTTAAAAGGAGTTGTTCCTCTCCGCTGTCACCAAGTGCTGCTCAAGGGGGATTTGTTGGGTTTTTCCTGTAGTAGTAATAATAATAATAATAATAATAATAGTAAGGTTTAGACTTTACTATGTAAAGTGTCCTGATATGGCTTTTGTTGTGATTTGGCACTATATAAATGAAATTGAATTGTCACACCGTTTAACAAATTCAGGAAGAGCACGTCGTGTTGGTGCACTGAGACCAGGTTTGGCTCTACTTTGACGATGGATATATGAGCTGATCTGGGCCAGAGTCGGCACTTGGAATCAGGACTTTAACAGTGATCAGTAATGAATAATGGGTGGCCAGTAACATGGTCTTGCTTCTTACTTTCAGTTAAAACCTGGCAGCTTTGAAGTTGAAGAAGGAGTTTTGAAGCAGCTGCAAACAGGGCAGAGATGCCAGAGAACACTCCCCAGGTTGGAAGTGTGCCCTGCACTGCAGTTTCTGATCTTTCATCTTCATGTTTTTTTTCTCTTAGAGGTTCAGGATGGTTGGGTCACATCTCTGCTGGCATCTCGAGGTCAGGCAAGCCCCGCCCCCCCAGAGCTTCATGGGCAAATAACCTTCAAGAAAACAAGGACCGGTGCCTATGCTGCAGTCTGGGGTCATAACCTCTGGATTTACCCCAACAAGGAAGGCTTCCAGCTGGGCATTGCCTCCTTTTCTGTGCCCCTGAACGCAGCCGTAGTCAAACCTGCAGGGAAACACTCGTTTGCCCTCATCACTCCATCCAAGACCTTTAAGTAACCACCTGTCTTTTTACCTGGCTCAGCATTTGTCTGTCAGACCACTTGTCTGACTGACTGACTGTCTGAACGTGTCTGTCTTACTGACTGTTGTACTCCTTGTATAAAGAGATATTATCATAATGTTTTATTTCTTTCATGTCCTTTCCTCTTTCCGTTTTGCCTCTCTGTATCCCTGCCCCCCTGCCTGTAGCCTGTCTGTTGATTCATCGAAGGATTTGTCCGTCTGGTTGGACAGTCTGTCTTCATCTATCATCAGTGCTTTGTCCAGCAGCCAGGTGATGCTGCGTCTCTGTGAAAACCCCCACAACAAGGTGTGTGGTGACTGTGGCTCAGCCAGTCCTGAGTGGGCATCAGTCAACCTACTTCTGGTCATCTGTCAAGCCTGTGCAGGTACAAGCCATGGATGTATTAATGGAAATCTAGATACAGCATTGCCAGATGGCACCTATTCATTCCTATGAAAGTTGTTTAGTGTTACAAAAGTTGTCATGCTTTCAGATTTTAGACAAAAATTACCTGGATGTTAATGCATGTTTTCATGTTTTTGGGCCCATAGAGCATGTGCACTTGTGCTGAGCCTAATCTTCTACCAGACAAGCTGGGTGACCTCCAGTTGGCTCCACACACAGATGAATAGGATAAAATAAAACTATCCTATGGCTAAACTAGATTGTCCAAACAATATTGAGCCCAATTAATCAAATTCTGATAATAATGAGTCATATCGTGGGGTTTGTGATGCTCGAAAAAATGTATTCACTGTTTTACAGCAGGTGATTTGAAAATGATTCTTTGAGAAAAATGCTTTTCAGGCCAGTGGGGAACACACGAGGAGTGTGGAAGTTGTAGTAACACTGTTTGGCCACTATGCCAGATTTGCTGCACAGCCCAGTAGTGTTGCTGGAGCCTTTGTACGAGCTAACAGAGGGCTCAGGGAGGTGAAGGCTGCAGATGTAGAGATGGAAAGAATTTTATGTTTACTCATGTTTACCAGACAGTTGTTTGACATCTGTCACTCATGTGAGGATTAAAATAAGAAAACCAGATTTTTTTTTTCCTCAATCAAATACAAAGAATCCAGTTTGAGTGTGGAAGGCTAATGTTGATCCACTGGTTTGAATGCAGATTGCTAACTGTGTCTGTCAGGTAAGCATCGAGGTTTGGGAAGCAAACTGTCAAAGGTTCGTAGTCTGAAGATGGACAGCAAGGTCTGGACTGAGCCACTCATACAGGTGAGAGGGGACTAGACCAGTCATACACCTGAGGGGAGTCATACAAGTGAAGGAGAAATGAGCCACTCATATAGGTGAAGGGGACTGAAAAAGTCATACACATGAGGGGGGATTAAACCAGCCTTACAGGTGAGGGGGGACTCGGCCATTCATACAGGTGAGGGGGGACTAGACCAGTCATACACCTGAGGGGAGATTGAGCCAGTCATACAGGTTAAGGTGGGGACTCAGCTATTCATACAGGTGAGAGGGAAATGAGCCACTCATACAGGTTAACGGGGCTAGACGAGTCATACAGGTGAAGGGGGGACTGAACCATTTATAGAGTTGAGGGGTTGGACTTACATTCTCTCTCTGACCTTTAACCCCTTAATCCTCTCCCAGCTGTTTCTTACCTACGGCAACTGGCTGGCCAATCAGGTGTGGGCCCCAGAGGTGCCAGCAGCGGAGCAGCTGCTTCCTGAGTCACCTGATGAGGCAAGGTCAAAGTTCATCCAGGACAAATACAGCCGAGGGTGCTACAGAAGAATCCACCCTCTGACTTCCTCTCGGTTTCTGATGGACCAGGTTGGACTCAGTTAACCTGTAATATTGGACTCAGTTAACCTGTAATATTACATGTTACCATGGTTACTAATGTACAGACTGCAGTTTACTGGCATTACAGTCAGATATAAGGTCATATACTGTGTGTGTGTGTGTGTGTGTGTGTCTTTGTTTTACTTACATTTTGGGGACTAAACCTGTTAACACACTCACATTATGGGGACTTGGCCATCCTTGTGGAGACCAGAGAATGGTCCCCATGAGGAAATCACAGAAATTTAGGGTTCAACATGATTTAAGGTTAGGTTAAGGTCAGGGTTAGGAATTAGGCGGGTAGTGGTTATGGTTAAGATGTATATATATCGGCTGTTCCCGTTAGGGGTCGCCACAGCTAATCATCTGTTTCCACCTAACGCTATCCTCGGCATCCTCTAGTCTCACCCCAGTTAACTTCATGTCCTCTTTTAGCACATCCATATATCTCCTCTTTGGCCTTCCTCTTGACCTCTTGCCTGGCAGCTCCATCTCCAACATCCTTCTACCAATGTAACCGCTATCCCTCCTCTGCGCATGTCCAAACCATCTCAATCTAGCCTCTCTGACCTTGTCCCCAAAACAACCAACCTGAGCTGTCCCTCTGATGTGCTCATTCCTAATCCTGTCCATCCTGGTCACTTCTAAAGAGAACCTCAACATCCTCATCTCTGCTACCTCCATCTCTGCTTCTTGTCTTTTCCTCACTGCTACAGTCTCTAACCCATACAGCATAGCTGGTCTCACTACTGTCTTGTACACCTTTCCTTTGATT